AAAGAGCCGCGGTTCACCGTGGAGGATCAACCGGGGAGGCAGGGCACCCGCCATGGCGCCGCCCAGGAGGAGGAGAAGAGGAGGAAAAGGAGGAATAGGAGGAGGAGGAGGAGGAGGAGGAGGAGGAGGAGGAGGAGGAAAGGGAGGGGAGGGAGGAGGGGAGAGGAGGAGGAGACGAGGAGGAGGAGGAGGAGGAGGACGAGGAGGACGAGGAGAAGGAGGAGGACGACGATATCGGGGCGGTGGCGGGGGGGGGGGGGGGGGGCAAGCTTCTGCAGGACATCCATAAGATCCCTCAGAACATCCATGGGATTCCGTAAGAAATCCATAGGATCCCTCTGGACACCCATCCGAATCCTTAGGACATCTATAAGAATCCTGAAGACATCTAATAAACCTCGGGGCACCCATAGGAATCCTTGATAATCCTTGCTACTCAACATAAGAAGATAACAAAGTCGATTCGCGACCTTCCCCCGCGATAATCAAGTTCGGCCTTGCTACCCCTTGTTCCCGACCAAATCTGCACTTTAACCCTCGCGGGTTAATGGGGGGGGGGGGGGCGCGCTTTACTCTCGAAGCGGGGCTTGAGCCAGACACGCGAGCGGATGGTGCACAAATCTCGGCGCACCTTCCTCGGGCGCAACGAACCAGCGATGAGCGCGGCGACCGAGCCAGGGCTGCCGCCCCGCGAGCCCCCCGCATGGGGGGCTCTTGCGGTGAGGCGCACAATCCCCAACCAGGCCAGCCTGGACGTTGAACCCCGAGGGCGGGCAGGCGAGGCGGATTCGGACCGCCAACGACCGAGGCAGCCCCGCACCCAGCAGCGGGCGGGTGGGGCAAAACGGCCGACGAGCCCGCGCCGCGGGCGAGCGCCGCGCGAGCGCGGTGCCAATCAATAACAACCCTGCGAAGCCAACGGCGCCGGGGCGCGCCGCGACCCGCCCTGTGCGCGATGCCCGCGGCGCATCTGCGCGAGCGTCCGCTGCAGACCCGCACGAGACAGCACAGAGGCGCAACGGAACGAAAGCGGGCGGCGCGCCCCGCGGTCGGGCTGCATGCGGCGCGCGTCGCACGCGCCGCAGCGCCGCAGGGCTCGTCGGCCGACCTGCGATTTGTGCCCGCGCAGCAACCTGCGGGCGCGCGCCCCCCACACCTCCTCCAGGGAGGTGCCGCCCTGGCCAGAGCTGGCGCCCCACCCCGCGATGAAGCAGCGCCAAGTGGAGCTGGATAACGGCGCAGCACGGGTGCAGGCGGCGGGGCCTTGGGTGCAGGAGACCGGTCTTAGGTCGGGCGTGTCCTCCCACAGGCGAATTTGGGACGAAAAATGGAAAATGGCCCAAATACAATTATCCTGGCGACGGACCGAACCAAATGCAGCTGTGAGTACCGCGCTTCCGATGGAACCACCTATGGGGCCGCGATCCTCGTGAGGGGTGTGTCAAAATGGGCGAAAGGACGCATGCAAACCCTCCCGCTGGGGCCTTCGGTGAAGCTCCCTTCGGGGCCGCGATCCTCGTGAGGGGTGTGCCGAAATGGGCGGGGGGACGCATGCAAACCCTGCCATGGCCCGAGGCCACGATCCTCGTGAGAGGTGCAATTACCGAACTGGCCCGAGGCCGCCATGCAAACCCTGCCACTGGGGCCTTCGGTGGAGCTCTCTATGGGGCTACGAAACGCTGTACTGGGTGGGTGAAACTCGAGACGCAGGGAGGGAAGGGAGGGGGGAGGGGGAAGAGGGAGGAAGGAAGGAAGGAACGCGGGGGCCGTCTCATCAAAGCGAGGACCCAGCACCACAGGATGGTTGGGAAAAATTGTCCCCTCGTATTTTTCTGACTATTTTTCCATACCGTGGTTTTCGAGAAACCAAAAAAAAAACTGCATCCGTATTTCTCGTTGAAGCGTGTCTAACCCTGGGCCCCAATTTCAAAGTTGGGGGCGTTCGACGCGGGGAAGTGCGAATCGTTTCGAAATAAACACCCCCTTTTGCAAAACGCTTCCTGCGCGACAGGATGAACATTGAAATTGGGGGCCGTGGGGGGGGCGAGCTTGCGCCGCCCCTTGAACGTTGCCGATGGGCGTTTTTTCCGAAAACAACGGCATTCCCCCCTGTAGGGGGACGTGCCCGACTGAAGACTGGTCAGCCCAGAGCGCACGCCGCGCAGGGGCGGAGGGGCCGCCCTCGGCCTCTGACCCGGCCAGGGCAGGGGGCGCCGGCGCCGAAAACGTGGCGGGGCGGCCCCCCACGGGGCTGCAGGCTGCGCTCGGAGAGGTGCCTCGGCGAGCCCGCGCTGCTGAGCCTTCGGGTTGCGTCTGGGCGGGCGCTGCTGGGCGGTGGCGGCCTCGGTCGGCCCGAGGGGCCCGCCGTCCACGCAGGTGACCGCGGCGGCGCCTCCGCCGGCGTCGCACAGCTCGACCACCGCGCCCGCCAGGCAGCCGCTGGCGACGGGCGCCCGGCTTCGGGAGTCGCCGCGGCCCTCCCCGGCCGTCCGAGGGCGGC